CGTCCGCCCACCCGCCCATCACATTGCGTATCCATCCGTTCATCACACTGCGTATCCGTGCGTTCGTTCATCACATTACCTATCCGTCCGTCCCACTGCACAACCTTCCGTCTATCCGTCACTCAAAATGTTATTAAGTAAACACAAAAATTGCTTCAATTACTTGGAATATTTCTCAAGTAAATATATTCTCCCTTGTTACCTTTACCTACGATTAAGTCCAGGTGTTCCTAAAAACTAAACTTGACCATTAAACACCTCATAAGTATCCTATCAAACACCTTCAATGGCGAATCCATTCTTAATTTACCTCCTCTTAACTCATCAGGAATTAGTGTGTGGAAATTATTGACCATCACTATACACACGAATCGATTATATATCAATTATCAATGGTATTACTTAGATCCAGTTTTCTTATTTATTATTTTTAATTTTTTTTTTAATTTTAAGAATATATTTATCTTTCATTCTATCGCTGTTACGAAGAAATTATAAATATTTAAAAAAAATTATATTCATGGGGGTGATAAGGTGTATAGAAATAGCTGTTGCAAGTCATGAGCCCAGTCAAGGCAAAGGCACGCCAAGTTTACTCTGTGAAGGAGGTAAGAAAAAAAGATACGTTTGTTTAATAGTTAACAAGACTTAAGAAGAATAATCACAAGCCTGGAGATGTATGCTGATAACACAGGGAATATGAGAGAGGTGTGTGTGTGTGTACGTGCAGCTAATGAGAGAGAGAGAGAGAGAGAGAGAGAGAGAGAGAGAGAGAGAGAGAGCGAACGGAGTCGTATGATCGAAAAAAAGAAAGTGCAAATGAAAAAGCGAGAGAGAAGAGGGAGTAATGAGATGAGCCACACCCCCCACCAGCTGCTTGTGGGGGGTGAGGCCAACTTTGTGAGCCCCTGAACCTCTCCTCCTCAGCCCAGTATTAAACCTGACTTCATCGGTGGTACGAGTGTCCCATGAAAGCTTTTGGACCCCAGACTTAAGGATTCCTCGTCCTCCTCCTCTTACTCTTCCTCCTCACCAACCCACTCTCCCCCCTCCCTCCTTCCCCCCTTCCCACCCCTCTCCCCCGCCCTCCCTCAGCTGCTGACGGTGTGGGTTGTGAAGCAGGAGGAGGCTGTGGGGATGAGGGTTCTCGACACCCTCTCAGCGTCAATGGGACTAGTATGCTATGCGACGGAAATTAGGAGATATTTTTGGGGGCGTCTCTCATCGGCCTATTCACCTGAAGGGTTCATTTCCCCCTGGTGAGCGGGCCCTTCACTATACATGGCGAGGGCCTTGTGCTCCAGGGGCAAGAGGAAGGGAGGGCCATGTGCTCCAGGGGTAAGATGGGCAAGAGGAGGGCCTTGTGCTCCAGGGGCAAGAGAGGAGGGGGAGCCATGTGCTCCAGGGGGTAAGATGGGCAAGAGGATGATGGCCTTGTGTTCAGGGCCAAGAGAAGGGGGGGCTTATGCTACAGGAGAAAGATGGGCAAGAGAAGGGCCTTGTGTTCCAGGGACAGGTGGTGGACCTCCCCCCAAAAAGAGTCTTTTACTCCAGGGGCAATAGGCAGAGCGAGTCAAAAAAAGGCGTTGTGTTCTAGTGGCAGGGGAGGAGGACTAGGAGCGGGAGGGAGGAGGTGCAGAAGAGGGTCTTTTACTGGAAGGAGTAGGAAGAGGGGCAGGAGAGAGCCTTGTACAGGAGGGTGGAGGAGTGGAGGGGTGGGGGGGGGCCCTTACTGGACCTGGTGTGGTCATTAGTCGCTCACCTCATCTCTGTTTACCAATATTACCTGGCCAGGCTGACGCGCCCCCTCGCCTCGTCTGTCACACACACCTCTCTCTCTCTCTCTCTCTCTAATCCAATTTTCTCCACGTTCTCTCTCCTTCAAATCATTATGTCCTTCATTCTTTCTCTTAAATCACCCTTATTCTCCCTCCCCAGCCTCTTCTTTTTCTCCTCACTATCCACATCAGCTGTGACCTAACTCTGTGTGTATGTCTGTATTTCTGTCTTATTAATTCAAATTAATGTGTTATCTTTCCCAACTCTCTCTCTCTCTCTCTCTCTCTCTCTCTCTCTCTCTCTCTCTCTCTCTCTCTCTCTCTCTCTCTCTCTCTCTCTCTCTCTCTCTCTCTCTCTCTCTCTCTCTCTCTCTCTCTCTCTCTCTCTCTCTCTCTCTCTCTCTCTCTCTCTCTCTCTCTCTCACAGTGTATAATATAATGGACGTAAATAAATAGCAAGTTTTTTTCATCATCACGATCTGAAGTCTTCTATTATTATTTACTCTTCAGCCAATACATTACCCCTCAGCTCTTAACTCTGATTCTCACACTAACTCTCCAAGATTTCCTCATTAGTTACCTCACTCACTCACACACACACAATACCTCTCCCTCACACTAAAACTCTCTCATACTCACACACTTACATTCCCTCACACTCACGTTAACCCTCCCTCCCATCTCCACACTACTTCTCTCCCTCCACCCCTCACAATTACACACTACCTCCCCCTCTCCCTTCACACACTACCTCCCCCTCCCCCTCACACACTACCTCCCCTCTCTCCCCTCCCCACTACCTCCCCTCTCCCCTCCCCTACTTCCCCCTCTCCCCCTCTCACACTAGTTACCGGCATCACCCCTTCAAGCCACATACGCCTTGCCTGAGTTGCATCCCGGACAAAGGTAGATGTTGAAAGTCTTGCCATTAGATTATTGGAAGTTAAGACATCAAAGTTCCTCCGGCCAGGAATGTAACCTTGATCAAACATTTTGGTTGGTCCGGAAGGATACGCTGAACCGACCCTTTGAGAGGGATGAAATGGTGTCCTGTACGCTGTGTCTGGATGCTGGAAAATGGTGTGTCCTATTGGTATGGATGGGTTACGGGATAATGTCCTATTCTAAGGTTGAGTGGGATGGTGTCCTATGGTATATCTGGACGGAAAAGTGTCCCTTCCACATTCCCCCACGAGAGGTTGATGGACAATGTACGCCGAACTATATGGGGTTCGTACCAAGGCCTCCAAAAGAGATGCTGTCCCAATTATGACATTATGCCTTTGGGTGAGTGTGGTGGTTAAGTCGCTAGATAGGATCACTCCCGCCTAACCCCAGAGATGAGATAAAGTCCTAATCAAAACCCTGGAATAAAGATAATGTCCTAACACAACTTCTAGTAAGGATTAATGTCCTTCCAGAACCTCGGGATAAGGATAATGTCCTCGCCAGAGTCTCTTCAGTTAGGATTACCTAAACACAGCCTCTGGAAGGGTTAATGTCCTAACACAGCTTCTGATAAGGGTTAATGTCCTAACCATTACCTCTGGCAGGGATATTGTCCTCCCCACAGCCTCTGGACAGGAAAGTGGTTCACAACTAAGTCTTTGAAGTGAATATTGCGATTACCAAAGACATAAAGGCCTTTTAAATGCTATTAAGCTTACACGATAGCATGCAAACACTAACACAAGCTCACACACACAGCAACACTCACGTATAGGCACACAAACAACATGCAAGCAAACACACGTAACAAATAAACACACAAACACAGAGACACTTTGAACACTTTTCCTTTAAATACAGTAACAATACCGAGAGACACAAGTGCACAGTATATAATATGATATTATGTGGGTGACTGTAGTAAGTGGTGAGTGACTGTAGGTAAGGTGAGGATCAAAATATGGTATATGGTACACCACTATACAGGTGGAACACGACACAGGTGGAACACTAAACCACTATACAGGTGGAACACGACACAGGTGGAACACTAAACCACTATACAGGTGGAACACGACACAGGTGGAACACTAAACCACTATACAGGTGGAACACGACACAGGTGGAACACTAAACCACTATACAGGTGGAACACGACACATGAACACACCATTATACAGGTGAGACGAGACAGGAGTGACACTACACCTGTGACACTAAACACGTGACACACAACACAGGTGAAACACTACCCCATTGAAACACTACACATGTATGACACTACAGGTGTGACACTACATACGTGAAACACAACACAGGTGAAACACCACCCCATTGAAACACTACACAGGTGAGACACTACACAGGTGAGACACTACACAGGTGAGACATTACACAGGTGAGACACTACACAGGTGAGACACTACACGGGTGAGACACTACACGGGTGAGACACTACACGGGTGAGACACTACACCACTACACAGGTGAGAGACATGTGGGTCACAGCTCGTGTGGGTCAATACTCAGTGGGATCAATATACAGGCGAGACATTTCTGAGACACATGTGGGTCACTACACAGGTCGGACACTTCTTGTAACACGTGAGACACTGTAGAGACACTGTACAGATGAGACACATGTGTAACACGAATGCGACTCGGGTAGGACACATGTAACATTCAGGGGAACTACAGAAAACACATAGCTGATACATGCGAGGGAAGACAATCATTACAAGAAGTGCTACAGGTGTCGCAGCTGTAGCACGCAGGTGGGACGGTGTGATGAAGTCGGCATGCGGTTGTGACGTCAATGGGACAAAGGTATGACTCAAGATGATAAAAATAGATGTGAGAATAGAGGAACAGGTGTTATCGGGGCGGTAAATTACAGGTGTGAAGGTGGGGCAGGTCAGACACTGGTGGTTCAAACAGATGTAAGGTAGAAGGGACAGGTGTTACTAAAGCGATAACATACAGGTGAAACAGGTAGGACAGGTGTGTGGGTGCCAGCGTTGCACACCAGACACACAAGTTAAGGAATAAAAAATAAATAAAAAACCACGTTAAGACAACACAGAATCAACACCCGGCTCTGTACTTCACTAAACAGGCGACACACACACACACACACCCATAGGTGAGTAGCAGGTGTAACACAACACACCTGCGACACATATTAAAAAACACATCTGAGGCGACACAGCTGTGGCACCGGGCGACACACATCACCACCACATAACTGCACAACAACACCTGTCAACACCTGACCTAATGTCCTCATGAACCACGAGCAGCCATGAGTCGCGGCAGCACCACCATACAAGTCCACCTTAGTCTCACATTAATGTTTGAGGAGCGCATAAATCCCCGCCATCCTGCTGCTGGCTTGTCACACCCGCGCCATACAGTCCTGTTGGCAGGGGGAAAAAGTGGTCAAGTTTCCCTCCCGTGAATGTAAATGCCGCCATATTGTCCATCGCCGACTCCAGCACCTTTAAAAAAAATCGGTCACCTGTGCACTGGTGTCGCCGGGGTGTAAATCCATCCATTCTGGCAGGTTAAGGGAATATTTACAGCGGCCTGACTCACCAGCAGTCGGTGGCAGCATCCGCAGCCTCCATCTTTGCTCTCGCTCGCTCAAAATACCATCCAGGGCCGCCGCTTCTGCCGTGCTTCCTTCAACGCCAACACTTGGTGACCTTTGTAGGCCAACAAACAAATATCTTCCACGAATATTCGAAAAAACTAATTGATTCGCGAGCTATACGATAAAAAGAAAGTGTCACCACAACCAATCAGCAGCTGCGTTAGGAGTCCGCAGGCTCACTGACTGATGCCAATTGGTCGAGCGGCGAGAGCGGAGAGAGCTACATGATGATTGGCTGAGCAAGTTCCACGTAAGCAACAGGTGAACTAAGATGGCGGCTGCTTCTTGGACCTGCCAGATGTCTGTCATGGACTTGCATATCGACGTTATTATCGACAAAACACTTTATCACGATATGTGTCTCATGCAATCTCCCTGTCAAAATAATTCATTGATCGGCCAAAACAAAACTGCGGCAGAATGGCGAAGAGGAGAGAGGGAAAGAGGAGGCACACACGTCCCACACCCTCAGATCTTGATCAATATACGATAAGATATGTGCCCAGCAGCCATCACCACCACCACCCTTTAATAAACAAGGCCCAGTGTTACACCTGGTGCGGGGGGTGGGGGGGGGGCGCCCTTACGCCCTTCAGGGTACGAAATAATAACGCCCACCCCCTAACAACTTGTTTACGCCCGCTGAATAAAATATAAGCGACTGATAGACGTGTATTAACAATTAGCGCCATTTGGGCAGGGCCATATGGATCAAACAATTAGGATACGTAGACCTTGTCGATATATTGATTTCCTGATACCAGACAACACCCGCGGGCCTCCGGAGGGCGCGCCTACCTCCACCTTCTCCTCTTTCTCTCTCCTCCCTCAATAAAAACCAAATGACTCAACCCTTTAATTATCGCCTCTACTCGTTCTTTATTACTGCCATATTTAAAGAGAAATAACTATAATAACATCAGACAGGCGGACTTCCAGCTTTCAGCGCGATACTCCCACAATAAATATAATAATTTAACCTTCCACACACGGCCAACACGCACAGGGAAGCACTGACAGCTTTTTCTGGAACTCATGTCAATAACTATGGACAAGAGACAGACAGCCGTGCTCCTGATAATACGAAACTGACGTTGCTGAAATTCACGTTCCGTTCTTTAATCCTCACCAATAAATAGAGTACAAGTTAACGTTTTACCATCACCTATGGACATAAGAGAAGACAGTAACAAGGTCGATGACTTGTACTTGACACCTTTAGAGCCTTTTAGGTGACAGTGTTTTAAAGTGTTATTATGAATCCAGTCTGTATGTAAGACCTTGTTACACTCTAAGAATTATTATTATTATTATTATTATTATTATTATTATTATTATTATTATTACTATTATTATTATTACTATCATTGATATTATTATTCCAAAATTTTCCGAGTTTTCCATTAACTTCTACAATAACTCTTGGTGGGAGTAAGAGCACTGTGTCACTCCCACCAGAACTCTTAATTAAGGCCACATTATAATTTATTACATACACTTAATAACAAACTCCCCCTTCGTTTATTTGTTATCAAAGATCACTTACAGGTATTTGTGCAGTATCACTGTTAAAAATAACCTGTTATACAAGTGTTCTATTACATAACATAAACGTGCGTGTGTTGTTCCCTAGACTACATTAACACTACCTTACTATTGACAGATTTATTAGTATTTTGCATTATTTATTTATATTCTTTATGCATATACATTTATTCATTTATCTTTAAGTATGACTCTGTATTTCATCCACGTTTATACATTTATACTCCATTTACAAGTTATATATATATAGTATATATATATATATATATATATATATATATATATATATATATATATATATATATATATACCCGGTAAGCAGTGTATATGGTTTTTGAGGCTAAATTATATGTAAATTATACACCGATAAAATGTTTAAGCGTCTATAACAAAATTCATGAGATTTAGTAAACTGCCAGTGCACGAAAAACCGTACTCACCATGATGATGAGTACAACACAACACCATGATGATGAGTACAACACAACACCATGATGATGAGTACAACACAACACCATGATGATGAGTACAACACAACACCATGATGATGAGTACAACACAGCACTATAAAAGGTTCAACACCAACAACAGTATAACCTGACCTTACATTATGTCTCTTAAGTGTATAATGGCAGACAATAACTAAAATGACCTGCCATAATTTCTCCCTAAAATATAACAGTATATATTATATCCCATGCATACCTGCCACGCCTCTGTACTTACCGCTGTTACTGTACTTTCTAAACTGCCAATTGGCCACAAGTACAGTCATACACATGGACACGATACAGTAAACTTATTCCCAGTGTAAGCTTTTATCTTTCACATCTGTACACTTATCACAAATTCCTATATATTAAAGCTACTTATTATCAAGACTTTAATAGTGGTATATAGAGTCGTAGACGTAGGTTATATAAACACATAAATATATAACGATTTGTATTTTTTTTTGTCGTAAGCGACTTTTTACCGATTTATAGCGAGAAATATTTACTCAGTGAGAAATCTAGCGTGTGAGGAAAACCACTGACCTTACCCGTGTTATTGTTTTGGTTGTAAGTGAAATAAAGGTGAGAATTTAAGGTATTTATTCAGTCTGGTGTTAGGTTATACTCCCTTATTATTATTATTATTATTATTATTATTATTATTATTATTATTATTATTATTATTATTATTATTATTATTATTATTATTATTATTATTATACGTCAGTTTTATCGTGGGAGTAATCAATGAACGATGATAATTTTAATGTTATATTTTTCATGTCACTGATTAAATATTCTCGGATTCAACACCTTTAGTCAATTGTCAAGCCTCTAATCTCACCTCCCTCCCTCCTCGGGTTTCTTGCGCCCTTGTGGTATAAGAGGCTCCTCACACCTAGGATCCCAAAGCCTTCATGACCAAACAGATGACCTTTTTTGACCTTTTAAAGTCGTGTGTTGATTGGCCCGAGGTCGAGAACTAGTGTGGGTTTGTTTACGTCTGTGTCTCTCATGAGTCACCAGTAATTGTCTAATTTTATTTGTCTTTCTCCCATCCATCCCTAACCCCTATCCACATCCATCCTTCCCCCTATCCACAGCCATATCCCCCACCCTACATCCATCCCTCTTCCACTCCTCACCCACATGCACCCGCCTCTTCCCTTCCCACACTCATTACCCCAACCACACCCATCCCACTCTTCCGTCTCCCCCACCCACATCCCTCCCCATAACACTGTGCCCTCCCCCCATTCCCCTGACGTGTTATTATATGCGAAAATTTGCCTCAAATTCCCATTCATCATTATAATTACAGTTTTATTTTGATTACCACACACCACTGCCAGCTGAGCATCGAGGCCGTCATTATCATTATTATTCTTATTATTATCACAGTAATGTACTTCCTTGATAAATGACGGTGTGTGTGTGTGTGTGTGTATAAGTAACGTACACTCAATAAAGTCAATCACAATTATCTAAGTCATTAGGATCATAATAAGTATTTTCTTCGATTACTTGAGTGCCGGAGAGAGGAGAGAGAGAGAGAGAGAGAGAGAGAGAGAGAGAGAGAGAGAGAGAGGAGAGAGAGAGACCCTTGTGAGATCTGCACATCCGCCATCCAACCGTGACGTCATATATGAATCTTCCTCCTCCTCTTCCTCCTTTTCCATTCTCCTCCTCTCCTCCTTCTCCATTCCTCCCTCCCTCCCCTACCATATTTTTTTTCTGCTTCGATAATTTTGTGGGTATTTAACTGTCATTGAATTTTTATAAAACCAAAAGCCATTGTGGTTTTTTTTCTTTTGTTTTGCTGTTTGTGTTTTTTTTACTCATTCTGTCTGTCTGTTTATAATTTTTCTCGGCCTTGTTGTCTTTTATTTATCTCTCTCTCTCTCTCTCTCTCTCATCATCATCATCATCATCATTATTATCTATAGTCATCATTATCATCCTCATCTACAGTCATCGTCCTCATCATCCTCATCGTCATCTACAGTCATCATCGTCAAGGACCATCCATCGTGATAGGGGAAGGTGGGAGGGATGGGGAAGGGGGTGAAGAGGGGAGGTGAAGAGGGGAGGTGAAGAGGGGGAGGAGGGATCGATGCACAAGGTAAGCTAGGTAGGTGTTAAGGGGAGGGAACAGGAGGGGGAAAGTACGAAGGGAGAAACACCTCAATTTGCATTAGAGGGGAAGGAGGGAGGGGGTAAAGATAGCTTGCATGAGAGGGAGAGGTGAGAGGAGAAGGGAGAGAGAAAGAAGGAGAGAGAGAGAGGAGAGGGAGAGAAGGAGAGAGAGAGGAGAGAAGGAGAGAGAGAGAGAGAAGGAGAGGGAGAGAAGGAGAGAGAGAGAGAGGAAGGCGAGAGAGAGAGAAGGAGAGAGAGGAGGGAGGTAACATTAGGAAGGAAAAGGAAGAGAGACGTAAGGGGGAGGATGAAGAAGAGTGAAAGGCAGAAGGGCATAGGAGCTTATAGCATAAGAATGGAGGGAGGGAGGGAGGGAGGAGGGAGGGAGAAAGGAGGAAGGAGAGAAGGAGGAGGGAGAGAAGGAGGAGGGACGGAGGGAGGGAGGGAGAGAAGGAGGAGGAGGGACGGAGGAGGGAGGGAGAGAAGGAGGAGGGAGGAGGAGTGGGAGGAGGGAGGAGGAGGGAGGGAGGGAGTGGGAGGAGAAGGGAGGGAGGGACTGGAGGGAGAGAGAGGGAGAGAAGGAGGGAGGGAGGGAGAGAAGGGAGGAGGGAGGGAAAGTGTAGCATACTCATGGAGTGGGGAGGGAGTGAGGGAGGATGGAGAGCGTAGGTAGTATTAGTAAGGATGGATGGATAGAGGGAGGAGGGAGGGGGAAGGAGAGAGGGAGGGAGGGGAGGAGAGCGGAGGGAGGAGTGCAGGTAGCATTAGCATGAAGGAGGAGCTTCGCCTGCCCGCTATACAACACCAGAAAATCAATACTACAGCAGAGGCGAACAAATTGGTCGACTCTGGAGAGAGAGAGAGAGAGAGAGAGAGAGAGAGAGAGAGAGAGAGGGGGTGGTACTATAGTGAGTGAGAAGGAACCATAAGGCGAGAGGAAATGTGGCATTATAGTGAGTGGGGGGTGGTAAGACTGTGGTGTGTGTGTGTGTGTGTGTGAGCGTGAGCGCCGTGCGGTATGTAGACAGGACCATATAAATCATGCATAAATGCCTTTACGCCTACTATCACCTGTCATTAAGCACACACACAAGAAGCACGGGGGGTGGGGGGAGAGTAGGAAGCACGTATAGCTGTCATTAGTCGTAAGCATTTG